TCATCATCATCATCATCATCATCATCATCATCATCATCATCATCATCATCATCATCATCATCATCATCATCATCACCATCATTGCGACCATCATCATCATCATCATCATCATCGTCATCATCATCATCATCATCATCATCATCATCATCAACATCATCATCATCCCCACTACCACCTTATCCTCTTCGCACCTACACACTCGCGCCCACGCAACACCTTCGCAGACGCGCGCACTGCGCGCTGTGCTGAGCAATACGGCTGCTCTTACAGCCAACCTTCAGCGCAGTAGCATCGTACACGACGCCGTGTTTGCTCGCAACGTGACGGTGTCTGGTGTTGCTGCAGCGAGCAGTACGCTTGGTTCCGTGGGCATGATCACAGACGAGTCTTCATCCAGTGACAACACGGTACCCCTTGTCGCTCTCGGTGTGGTGCTCGCTGCAGCCATCATCGTCATCATCGCCACAATCCTCTACATTCGCAGAAAGCAAGGTGTGCGCGGGCATGATATGTGTGTGTGTGTGTGTGTGTGTGATTGACCAGAAGTGCGTGAAAAGTGCGACTTCTCACACACACACAATGTACACACACACTGGCTCACTCACACACACACACATACATACACTGACTCACTCACTCACACACACACACACACACACACACACACACACACACACACACACACACACACACACACACACACACACACACACAGGCTCTGCGGACATGTCTCTTGGCAGTCTTGAGCAGCACACGATGGTTGCGCTGTCGCATCAACCACGCAACACGAGTCTGCTCATGGACCAGCGCGGACAGGCGTGCCAGGCGATGGAGATGGAGGGGGCACGGGGTCGCCGTGTCACGTTCCTCGGGCCCTCTGTTGACGATTACAGCGTGGAGGATTACACCAGCACCGATTTCGCCACCGCTGGCACCGCCAACTACACACACAAAGACGGGCCCTCCACAGCCATGTGAAGAGGAAGATGTCATGTCAACGGCATGGCATGAGCGTGTCGGTGTGCTTTCTTGTGCTCGGCGTGTGTGTGTGTGTGTGCGTGTGTGTGTGTGTGTGTGTGTGTGCTGCTTTCCTGCGTACGTATGTGCACGCTTGTGCGTTGTGTGAGCGTTCGTGCACGTGCTTGTTCTTTTGTTGTGTGCTGCCTTGATTGTGCCTGTGTCTGCACGTGTGGATGTACAAACGCATGTGTGTTGCGTTGGGATTGTCGTGTTGTCACACATGTTGCTCGTTGGTGCTGTTGTTTATTGTGAATCAGAGAGAGGGAGGAGGGGAGGGGGATGGTGCCATTGAAGGGGAGAGGAAGAGAGGCATATGAGGCCCAGTGGCGGTGATGCTACAGCAATTAAACATCAACCAAAGCAGCCGGAGCAAAGCCCCCATGTTGTCTGTCCTCGTCACAGACTGCACAGCTAAGATGCGGTCACCACGACAGCCACCCTCGCAAACAGATGCGTGCACACACAAGAGGCGGGTACCACGCGCGAAACCCAGGGGTGGTGCTGACGACCACAACGACAACAACAGATACAAGGTAAGAAGAAGGTACGAACGATGGAAGCGATACAAAACACACATACGTTTACACACATCCACAGTCATGTACACACACACGCATGCACACACGTACACACGAAGCAACGCGCGCAACAGCGAGGGGCACGGTGCGATGTCATGTGCGAATCTTGGATTGCGGCTGAGACGCGTCATTGCGACTTCGCGAACGCTGTTGTTGTTGCTGTTGCTGTTGCTGTTGTTGTGATTGCGGCTGCGCTGGCGTTGGGGGCACGGATCGTTCCAAATGCTCGTACTCAAAGCGGAAACTCGACAGCTCCTTCTGCTCACGCAATCAGTGTTGTGGTGATGATGGTGGTGATGATGGTGGTGATGGCAGGGAGGTGAGGAAACTTGAATGTGCATGTGTTTGTTTGTGTTGTGGCGAGGGCAACAACAAACAAAGGGCCAGAGCGTGTACGAGCGTGAGAGTATGGCGAGGTGGAAAGACAAACGGCTTATACGGAATCACGGCGCGTATGCGTACCTCAACCCAGTGTGCAAAGTCAAAGTATCTGTAGTTTCCAATCTCAAACGCTTCCGATTGTTCCTGGGAAAGGCAAGCAGAGCGAGAGGAGAGGGGGCAAAGGATGAGGTGAAACTGGTGAGTGGACTGAAGGAGGAAACTGGACGGAGGAAAAGAGTGACAAACAGCAGCGACAACGCAATGTATAAACACACACACACACAAAAAACACACACACACACACAAACAACAACAACAACAACAACACACACACACACACACACACACACACACACACACACACACACACATAGCACAGCACACCCGCGACACGAGTTGGCGCACCACCGGGCTTTGATTTTCTTGAGGGAA